GGAGGACGAGTAGGAGCCGGACGGGGACGGAGTGGCCGCCGAAGACTCCGCCATGGCTGTGCGAGCAAGGGCGGAAGAAGGGTGAAGAGAGATGCGGGGCGGGAAAGAGGGAGGGGAGACAGAATAATCGGGCAGCCGATTCTCCGAAGCCCCTCGACTTAACCTGCTCGGAGGACAGACTCAGACGGACTGACTGACTCAGCCGAGAGCAGCTAGAGGGCGGGAGCGCGAGCGCGCGTGCGCACAAAGGGCCCTCGAGAGGGTGGCGGGGGCGAGGGGCGGCCCAGTCCAGGCGCACTGGGGCGCAGCACGCAGGCGCAGGAACCGTCCCTCTGCGCTCCTGCAAGGAAGGAGGGGCAAAACCTGCCCCACGCCGCGCCCCGCGGGCTGCTGGGGTGGGGCGCGTCTCTCTGGGACCAGACGCGAGGGGCGTGACCAAGCACTAAGCTCCGCCCACCAATGCCTCCTAGTGGCGACTGCTGCGGGCTAGGATTTCTTCATAGCTTTTTACGTGAATGTTTTCGGGTTGACAGATTATGTATTTTAATGATAGAAGTTTCTTTGTGCTTCCTGTAAATTCCACATCCGATGTCTTTTTTTCTGATGTATTTCCCGCCAGTGACTCCTATGAGAAGTGGAAACCACAGAGTAAAGTAGGCCCGCTCTACAAGGTGCTTTATGAATTTATCTGGATGTGTCGTAATATCGCCTCACCATGAGGAAGAGAGGCATGGTCACCAGTCTGGTAGGTGGAGAAAGATGCAATACAGAATGAAAAGCTATTACTCATTCCGATCACATTGCAATGCAGTCGCAGAACCTACTTCATATTCGATTCTCGTTACTGTTCCCAAAGAGGGGTCCACCCTGTGAATAAGATTTGTCTTTTCAACCTCATTGACTCTCAGAGAAGGCATATTTTTGGATGAAAAAAAGCTGAAAAAATATCCTGGCTTTGATGATGAAGGGTGATAGAACCACATGTTAAAAATTCAAAACAAGGCACAAAATACACATAGTTGAATTTTATTCATAAACTAAAAGGTGTCCTTAGCAAAAAAAAAAAAAAAAAGTGTATTAGAAGCCAGATATCTAGCTCATATTGGGTTTTGTTTATTTATTTATTTGTTTTGCTTCGCCTGGCTTGGCTTGCCAGATTCAAAGCTATCTCCCTATATTTGATCACCTATTTCAAAGGTGCATAATCCTTTCAAAAGGGGGAATATTTCCTGGAAATAATTAAAATCAAGGCTGTGGGCTTTGTTATTACTAAAGCAGCAATCAATGCCCAAAATGTAACTGCAAGATCAGCAGATCCTGTAAAGATGCAACCTCATGAAGGGGGAGGTATTCAGCCAGGAAGCCACGGAGGAGAAAAGCCATCTGACAAATGGAAATCTTCTGGAATAGACTGTGGACTACATCTGCCCTTGACAGTGTTTAAGGTCAGGTAAAGCACAGAGGGAAAAATCAAACAAACAAAAAAGGAAAATCACCCAACTCCTGGCCTTTACAATGCTCTGAAAAGGGCACAGAATAGTTCCCAAAAAACTTTACTGGCAAACATCTTACCCTGGTGCTTACGGTGTCAGTTTATAATGCAGCAACCTGCCCTTAGATAAAGATGTAAGCCAAACTGGCAAGTAAGCTAGTTACTTCCCCACCCTGATAAATACATAATTTTTTAAAAAGTCTTTATTACATACTGGATAAATAAATGAAGCTGGTATCTAACCCTGACAGCACTTGATAGAATCTGGAGACCTCAGATGAAAAAAAAAAGAGCATTTATCTGATAGCTAGAAGTAGAGAAAGAAGTTAAAAAGCAAGGCACTCCTGCTCTCGGTGGTCTCTTCAGATGCCTTGGAGTTTTGTTATTTTTCCACATAGGAAACCCCTGTACTGGGTCCAGTTCCTAAACCTGTCTTTCCTTTCTTCTTTTTCTTCCTTGCTGTACCATTTTATTTTCCTGAGACATATTTTTTCTTGAAATGTTGTATATTTGTATATATTGAATATTTGTTCCATGAATATTTACTGATTACCTGACATGTGTTTGACACTATCTTGTAATATTATTTTTCAAGGTTTTTCTTCTTTTTTTTTTTTGCCATCGGATACATATATTCGCCAGAGATAGAGAGGGAAAGTAAGAAATCGCACCCCGCAAGGGGGGCTGACCTCACAGCAATCCCTTCTCCTCTTAGGATTTTGGTTTGGGCATGCACACACATGTGCCTGGCATGTTTTTTTTTCTTTTTTTTTTTTTGAGAGGTTTTTGCTATAGGGCGCATGCGCTCGCCAGAAAGACAGAGAGAGACAGAGAGACAGAAAGTTAGAAATCACTCCCCAGGGGACATGGCCACACCACCATCCCTTCTCCATTCTCCTCTAGGGATCTTGGGCATGCACACACTCCCAGCGTGAGTTTAAGCCACCAGGTCCGGGACTCAGACTGGGATTGACTATGTGGGAGTCCAGCAACATAACCATTATGCCAACTGCTGGTCCCTACCTGGCATGTTTTTCAAGCCACTGAATCTGGGACTTGAATCATGGAGTCTGCCATGTGGATCCAGTCCTTTCACTATGTCGCTACCTGCTGGTCCTATCCTGGGAACTTTGAGACAACCCCAAAATATGTTTGTCCTGTATTCAATGAATTTACAAGCTAGCTGAGGCATTGAACATACTCATAAAGTTAAATAAAACAAATTAAATAGCAATGAAAAACAATCCTAGACAACACAAAACCATAGTGCTTTAAATAGGAGATAAATGAATTACACAGAGTTAAAAGGGAGTAAGGAATCACTGTAGAGTTATAGTGGCTTGGGGAGGTTTAGAAGAAGCCCAGGGGCTGGCAGGTGGCATGGTGGTTGAGGCATTGAACCCACATGGCCAACCCTGGTGTGAGTCCCAGACCTGGTGGCTTGCTTTTTCACTTTTGCCTCTCTTTTTGTGTCTCCATCTGGTCAAATTAAAATAAATGAATAAATAAGTAAAAATAAATGAACAATGTTTTTTAAAGCAGCAGCTCAAAGTTGCATAGGAGCTTAGAATTTTAAGGAGGCAATTAAGGCAGGGGGAAAATGGTGTGAAGCAAACACAGGGTTTTGTTTATTCCAAAAGACACCTTTCTGGGCAAATCACAAAAAAGGCACTCCTTTCCTCCTAGCTCAGTCCATAATACAGTCCATGCTGACTTGTCTAGCAGAATGTGGCCTAGATTTGATGTCCTCTTGCCCTCCCCTCCTGGCTACTTTGGTGCAACACATACTGTACAGCTGTATGGCAAGTGTTTTGGGTGTAGTTAGATCAGGTTGGTTGAATCCAAGGGCTTGAACTGAGACAAGAGGGAAGATAAGGTGATAAGATATAAAATGGAGAAGACATTTTATGACCACAGTGTGGAGAATCAGCAGTATTGCACTAAAGAATTGAAGCTGTGGGGCTGGCAGGTGGCATAGTGGTTAAGGTGCTGGACTCTAACATGGCCGACCATGGTTTGGAACCTGGACCTGGCGCCTTGCTTTCTCACTTTCCCTCTCTTTCTCTCTGGTCAAATTAAAAATGTAATAATAATAAATTAAATCAAATTAAATAAGTAATTCTTTTAAAAAAAGAATTGAAGCTTTGTCTTAAGGCTAATGGGGATTTAGTGAATGTTTTGGGGGCAGGTACTGGCTCAGATGGAAAACAAAAAAAAATTTTAAAAGAACTTGATAGAAGGAAGCCACTTGCCAGAGAGAGAGAGAGAGAGAGATGGAGACAGAGAGGGAGATAAAAAGTGAGAAAGTACCTCCCATGGGATGGGGGTGGTCACACTGCAGTCTTTTCTCCATCTCTCTCAGGACTTTTTGCACACTCATTTGCGCCTGATGTGTCTCAAGCTGCCAGGTCCAGGACACTAACTGTGTGTGCAGTTGGGCATGTGGGATCCAGTAGCTTTAACCACCATGCCATGGTCTGGCTCTTGGATAGGACTTTTAAAGGGCTCACTAGAGTGTAGTAATTTCTTTCTTTCTTTTTTTTAAAGAGGTTTTTGCCTTAAGACATGTGTGCGTGTCAGAGAGAGAGAGAGAGAGAGAGAAAGACAGAGATGGTGAGAGGGGAAGTGAGAAATCATCCCCCAGAGGGGATGGCCACACCACGCAGTCCCTTCTCATCCTTTCTCCTTCTGTTATCCTGTGCATACATGCACAGACCCCTGGTGTTATTTTCAAGCCATCGGGTCTGGGACTCGATCCATGATTGATCATTTGAAAGTCCAGCAGCATAATCCTATGCCATTTCCTGGCCCCCTCTAAGAATGGCTTTTACTTTTATTTTAGTATTTTTGCCTTAGGGTGTTTGTGCTCCTGGAAGAGAGAGAGGGAGAGACAGAGACAGTGAGCAGGAAAGTAAGAAATCTCTCCCCAGGAGGTTGACCATGCCACAATCCCTTTTCCTACACTCTCATCCTGGGATCTTGGCCACGCATGCATACTTCCCTGGCATGAGTTTCAAGCCACTAGCTCTGGGACTTGAACTGTAGTCGACCATGTGGGATTCCAGTGACATAACTGCTGTGCCACCTGCTGGCCCCTATGGAGTGTAGCCATTTCTCAGGAGTTTCAGTGCAGTGAGCATCTAGTGATCCCTCCAGTGATCTTTCTAGTATATTTTAAAGTGATAGATCCTTTGCTGTTGAATGAAATACCAATAATAAAGCAGCTGACGAAGTTTTAAACTTTTCCTGTGTTACCATATTGAGGGACTAACAATCAACTTTAAAACACCTTATGAAGTGGGGTTGACTTTCTTTTTCATACACTGAGGACAACAAATCCTTACCCCACATTATACACAAAGTAAGGTAGAGCTATTTAAATGATGCCCAGGAATGAAGTATTCTTGTGTTCCTTCCAGGATGCATAAATACCAGTACTGCACATAGATGGTAGGAGGTTGAGCTGTGTCCTAGTAGTTATAGTAAGTGATATTTACTTGGCTGTCTCTGGAGGACAGGAGTGTGTCTTATACAGTGTTGCTGCTTAGTATAGTGCCTGACACATAAAAATGTCCTATTTTTAGAAAGCTTTGGAACCCGAGTCATAGCAAATGCCATTGTAGAAAATTGTGCTATTTTTGTGCTTCATAAAATACTTCGGTATTTTGAAACTTATGACTTTGTTTTGCTCTTCTAGAATAAATACGATTAACAATTTTTTAGCATGAACCACATATCAGTCACTGTGGCCAAATACTTCCATCTCACTTCACCTACAACAACTCTATGGAATTATTTTGCAGATGATGAAATGGGTTCAGAGAGG